AATTCAAAATCCGTTCGTTACACCTGTTCTCCAGAAATATAAGGAGCTGAATTAAATTATCTCATCCGGAGCCCAAAATTGAAAAGGGCAATTAGCATAATCATGTTTCTCCAGAAGTGAAAAATTGCTTTCATCGACAAGTGTTGTTTACAATGAATAACAGTCGCACTTGAACATGCTACCTTTTTTTTTTTTTTTTTTTGAATGATTCGTGTCCTTTGTGTGAGGCTTAAATTAAACCTCTTCTTGATTGCCAGATTGGAATACGCTGTAAGAACAAAGTGAGTCAAAAGTACATGTTTTCGCACAAGAAAGATGTGTTTACGTGACATTTGCATTTTCAATTGCAGTTGCAGACATACTACTGTGGGAAAACAAGAAGTTATCTGCTACAATCCTAATAGGCGTCACAATTATATGGCTCCTTTTTGAATTGGTGGAATACAATTTCATCACTCTTCTGTGTCACATCTCTATCATTATGATGTTAATTATGTTTATTTGGTCCACTGGGGCAGGATTAGTTGATTGGTACTGTTTTCTTTCCTAATACCTCTACTGCGTTACCAATTCATATTGCAAGTTAGTTTCGCCATCTTTAAGTTTTAACTGAGCTAATATTGCCAAACTTTCTGTCTCCAAATGCTCTACAGGAATCCCCCAGATTTGCATGCTATAACAGTGCCTGAAGCTACATTCAGATGGCTGTTTGCCAAAATCAACTGGATATTGTTGAATTTGTATGACATTTCATCTGGAAAAGATATAAAAACATTTTTTCTGGTATACATCTTCGCTCAATTGTCATTTTGATCCTGCTGTGTTCCATTTTGTCTTTCCGCCAATTGATTGTGTTATCATTGTCTTCTGACCTTCCTTTTCTTTTGTATACTTCCAATCAGGCAATCACTTTCCTCTGGATGTTGTCAATTATCGGAAGCTCTTTCAGCTCTTTGAACTTCTTATACATTGGTAAGGTTGATGAAAATCTGTTGATGTTGTTGGAATAGTGTTGTATTATTGTCATCATATGTAAGTTACTAATCATGCATGGCATCTTTTGTTATTTTTTGCTGGGATTTGAAGGCTTCCTCAGCTTGGCAACTTTACCAGCTTTATATGAGCGTCATCAAAATGAAGTGGATCATCTCGCAAGCCAAGGGAGGAGAGAAATGAAGAAATTGTACAAAAAATTTGATTCAAAAATCCTTAGCAAGATTCCAAGAGGGCCAGTGAACCAAAAGAAGGGATACTAAAGTTGGAGAAAATCAGGAAACTAACTTGTGAAGAAATTGCCTGTCCCTATTTCATAACCACTTTGCTATGTTGCCTAGACAGCAAGACATATTTGAAGTAAAAAAAAAAAAAAAAAATTACTTCTTCAAAAGAAGATGGATAATGATTAACCTTTTACAGCTGTAAAGTATTCATTCTTAATTTTCTTTGATCTGTCAGTATGAGTTTATCTGTTTAGCACTTTAGCTTCAAGGTCAATTTCATGGTAATGATGGGAAGAAAACAAAATGGACGGCAAGATAAGTTGATTCAAATGGTAAAAATAAATTATTTTTTTTATAAAAAGTTGCGTGTTTGAATAACGTCTATAAGTGTATATATACAGTACTTGGGACATACTTTGATCCGTAGTGTTGAGTGAAGCCAAATTCACCAAATTTTCTTTTACAAAAAAAAAAAAAAAAAAAAAAAAGAAGACCGAATATGTTTACTAAATACAACGAACATGATTTTCCAAACTGAAATGAAATTGCACATGCTGTTCCCACACAACCATTAAGGCATGAAACATCCATCTGAGAACCAACCGCACTCGACCTAACGCGGTTGATTGTTGATTCCCAACTTGCCCATAACACCACCACCAATCGCATTCCATCACCAGTAGTGTTTCTGGGATGTTTGGATCCCCTGTTTTTTGGATGTTTTTCAAAAATTAGTTTTTCAAATACAATAAAAATTTTTAAAAAGTACTCTAAAAGGAAATTTAAAAATTAGTTTAAATTTTTTAAAAATTTTAAAAAATATCTCAAAATATATTCTAGAAACTCTTCTATTATTAAATATTCCAAAATATTTTCTAAAAAATCTGCTACAGCAAAATTTTTCAAAAACATCTCAAAAAACAGCTAATAAAACAGAATTGTTGTTGGCCAATATACTTCCTTTGGGCTTGTAGATTCCATTGTTGCTTTCAAAATCTCTTCAGAAACCTCAATTATGTTCATTATAAGCGTGGGTTACAGATGTAGGCTAAAGCTAATTATTGGCCCAAAGCCAACTCTGCATGTTCCATGTGCAAGCCCAAAGCTAATTACTTCCTGCATTCCAAATTATTCGTCGCATTTCGGGATTTTAACTTATTAAGAATAATAGTTTGATGGTAATGTTGGTAGATTTATTTTCAAAGTTGCTCTCAAGAATTCAAAATTCAAATTTGAATTTAGTATGAAATATAGATAAAGATGGGGACAATATTGAAAAAAGAGATAAAAAATAACTTTGACTTTGGTAAAATAACAAATAATAGTTACAAAATTCGGCTAGACCTGACGGTTCAACCATTCAAACTGGTGAATCGGCCACCTAATTGGATTGGTTTTCAAGTTAGACCGGATAAGTAATAAATCCATTGACCAGTCAATAACCCAGCGGTTCAACCGTTCAAATCAGAAAAAAAAAATTGTTGATTGAACCTTCAAATTAAAAATTATAATATTTTTATAATTCAAAATGTATTATTATACTATGTAATGCACTTGCTGGTTGAATTGGCCAACCCATGATTGGACCAGTAACCTGTTGAATCGGTCACCTCTTTGGACTGAGGTCCTAGTTGAGTTTTATAATTTTGTGGCAAACATTTTGGGACATTCCAAAATGGAAAACATGACAGTCCCAATGGAACAGTGGGAATATTTTATTTATATATTTATTCATTTTTTGGAAGATGGCTTTGAAATTATACGGTAACACTTTTTGTAATGTGATACATATGAGATAAAAAGATAATTGAAAATTATGTTTATGATACAAGTCCAATAATATTTGAATTCTTTTGTTTCAAATAATACTAACCAAACGGATCCAAAAGGCTCTAGATGTTCCTTAAAATTCTTGCTCCCATCGAACCCTTTCTATCTATAAACGCATCAGGGAAGAAAGCATAGCAAGCAAGTAGACAGGGCTTTTGTGGTTTCCTGTGGAATTAGGTTTGTAAAATGCCAAAAAGTCACTTCGGCTTTGGAAAAAAGACAACAGCCTGTCCGGGTTGAGTGAGGTCTCTTTAGGTCTTAGTAGCAGCTCGCCTGCTTAAGGTTGTTATCCCACATCGAATGTTGGGGGGGGGGGGTTTGGGGTAGTTTATAAGTTTCCTCAGGAATCACAAGAGTTACCGGCTTTTATGATTTCCTGTGGAATTAGGTTTGTAAAATGCCAAAAAGTCACCTCGGCTTTGGAAAAAAGCAAGTAGACAGGGCCTGCTAATTTTCCGACCACAGTCCTCAATACGTGCCTGTTTCTTTTGGCCTACGCATGAAAAAATATATCTAGCATTTCAAGTTATATTAACCTCCAATATGGTTTTCACAATTTTTTAAAGATTAAGATAAGAGATAAATTTCAAGTTAAAATTTTCAGTAATAGGAACGGTTAACTTTTTTAACTTAACTGTTTTTTCGTGGTACTAAATATATGGTACTTTCCTTTTGTGGGCAAAATAGAAAACATAAATGGTGTAAGATACACCAGAGTCATAATTTTAATCCAAACTCAAAAACATAGATTATTGTTTTTCCCAGAATCCAGATTTTATCATGAATTCTCAGCTGGCTATTTATATGGCTTTTAATCTGTCTATAATTAACACAAAGATAAATGCAATGACAAACTCAAATTCCAAATGCGGTCCACTGATTCCGAAGTTTTAGAACATATATTTTGTTCAAAAGAAATTATTATGAAGAATCGCAGTCGGTAGACTGGGTAAGTAGTCTTGTGCTTAAGAATGCTTTAGAAAAAAGCACGAAGGTCAAACTCTGACCAATTTCATGCAGATTCTCTAGTTCTGTGATAGGGATAGCACATTTTCGATAAGCATTGTCAAAAAAGTTGTGTGAAAACATTAGATTCTGCTGTGGTTTTGTCCTTTTTCTGTCCCTTTCCTCTTTTTTCCAGTTTCTATGTATGGCGTGATAAGGAGCCTGTGTCCATAAAAGTCAAATTTTGCAGTAGATAAGATGAGTAGTCTGAAAGACTTGTGGAAGTGCTGATTCCAACGAAGACAGAGCTTAGGAGTGTACCAAGAGATGGTCAGAGAACTCAAGGCAGGAGGAGGAGGAGGAGGAATCTGGGATGGACAAAATTTTGAGGGCTTAGGAAGTGTAGTTTGGGTTTTGTGGGTGGCGTTCCTTAGTTCATCTTTCATCTTAGCCGTTATCCTCTCCTGTGGAAGTGGTGCAACCAGAGACAAGGCTTCTTCTGCCACCCAAACTGATGCCCACGGGGCTGCATGTGGTGCAGGTTGCACCGCTGCATGTGGTGGCTGATCACCGTGCTGCTCTCTGACTTCTTATCACCTACCTGATCTGCTGATTCTTTTCAGTTGTGAATCGGGAGAAAAACCAAACTAGAGATGACAAAAAACAAAGGGTAGGAAACTAAACTAAAGTAGTAATCGATTCCTCCTCCTCTCTTTTTTTTCTCTTTTTTGTTTGTTAGGGGTACAAATTGTTCGGTTTTGCAGTTCAGGAGTTGTAATAACAGCCTCCTATCAATAGATGTCAAAAGATAGGCAACAATTCACCCGAAGGTGGCAGCCACAATTAAGAGGTAAGTTTGGTAGAGGGCAAGGGTTCTTCGATAGACCAAGAGGCTGTTGGCCTCTATTTTAGTATTTGAAAGCTCTATTTTAATGGCGTTCTGATTGTACATCAACGAATTTGGTCCTACTAAACAGGCATAAGGCATATCATAGACAGTTCCCATTTTTGAAATTGGCTAGAATAAGATTCCGCAACCTGGAATAAGAACTCAACAGGCCAAGAGACATTTCCCAAACACTTGCACACAAGTACAGAACGTAAGACTTGAGTTTACAAGGATTCTTCTCAGTTGTAAATTTCTTTAGGTGTTATTCTATTACTTTCCTACTCTTTCTTCACACACTGTCCAGTTTATTTGAACAATTTGGGGTACAATGAGAACGTGTGCAGTCCTTCATCATTTCTAGACACAATAAATATTTAAAACAGGCACAAGCCAAGATATAGCTGTGGGTCAAAATTTACGTGACAACAGTTCTCACATTCCTCGACTTCTCCTAATTTCAGTTGATGAAATGTCCATGCGGAATGTATCTGCTGGTATGGAAATGAACAGGCCTTTCAGTTCCTCTGGTACGTCAAAATCCTCGAGTACCTAAGAGAGACCGCGAAAGGGTACAAGTTTGTAAGACGAGTCATCACAATAACTCCAGGGTATGGAAAGGTTTTTTGAAATATAATCTAACCTTGAAAACACCATCTACGTTTCGGCCAGCAACAAGGAAAACACATCCAGTGTTTTTGCACCCGATGAGTATCTCCAACATCTTTGCATAATCGTTCCCATAGTATTTCGGCTGAAAATCAGCAACTTCCAAACATTAAGGCAAAAGAAATTGCAAACTTTCACAGAAACACATTACTGCATGCAAAATTAAAATCCACAGACACCAGAATTTATTAGCATAACAAGATCACTATTCTTTTTTGCGTGCGCGCGTGTGAGAGAGAGAGAGAGAGAGCTACTCCAGAAAGTTTGCCACTTATTAAAACATATTCCGCACCACAAGATAAGAAAAACTATATCTATCCTATTACCAAGAAGAGAGAGAGAGCTTATGATTGTAACCAGAAAAATGATAAACATAAGTAGAAAACCAAATTGAGGATAACAACTAGATATACTGGTAAGCATAAGAATCAGGTACACACTTGGAACCAAAATAAAAACTAAATTGAGGAAGGTAAATCAAAAGATAAAAGTAGAAAACCAAATTGAGGAAGTTAAATCAACCGGTAGATAAAAACTAGATATACTGGTAAGGATAAGACTCAGATACACAATTGGAACCAAAATAACAACTAAAGCTGCAATGATGACATACAACCTAGATAGTTGCTTGAAAAAAAAAAAAGGTATTGAACTACATAAACTATTGAACACCCAAAATACAGTAAAGAAGCCAGTAACGGAAAGGACAAGGCTACATAGTAAATTTCACAGACTCCTGCTATATATTAAAGGTCCTTACATCGATTAATCTCACTGCTGTATCTGCACCAATGACAAAAGCACTGCCAGGAAAGAGCTCTGCTTTCTTGTAAAAATATGGCTGATTAGATACTATGACTGTTTTTCCTGAATGCACATATGAAAGCAATTAGCATCCATTTAATAAGTAATGTAAAAATATGGCAACGGTGTAGCCCAGTGATCCCTACAAAGAAAGTATTCTGACAAATTCCAAAACACTTGGAAAAGAAAATTTCCTTTTTGCACCACCCCAACCTGGGTGGGGATTTCAGAAGCATTCAAATGACAAATCTACAAATACTAACAGAACAACTTTGGATCCATGTAACGGGAGAACCAAATTCAGCAAATCAATTTAAGATACTTTCAACCCTAACCAATTCCATGACAAAGCTAATGTTCCTTGTGCCTAAGCCTGGTGTAATCAAGCTATTATCCACTGCCATATTCCTGCATGCACATGCACACAGGCTTCAAATTTAGTCATAATGAAAACCACTATTCCAAGGTTCAATTATAGGGAGACACAAAAGGCTTTGACATCCACTACCAATTTCCATAATAAAAGTTTAATCTTCAGAAGGTGATTCATTTTAGAAGGAAAATTTGTCAGATGGTTTCAAATGCACACACAGCATTGATTCTGAACTTAAGTATAGAAACTAAATGATCCAGACTTACCAACTCTTTCAAACTGTTTGACACGTTCTTTGATTTGAGATACTGTCAAAGGAGGTTTATCAGCATTTATGGCGGACAATTCAAAGCACAGGTATCCATCCCCACATATGCTGCATATATAAAATAAACTACGTAAACATCAGAAACAATAGGACATAAACCTAATAGTGATATGGTAGCACACGGAACTATCCTAAGACAATATCATCTCATTTATGTCTAAATGAACTGACAAAAACTGGAAGCACTTCATGCTGTTTCACGTGACACTGAACCTCCATCTAATGCTGTTCGTTTTATGACTGGACTTGCCTTCTGAAAAAGATCTTCTATCATGTAATCATATTACCATGAGTCACAATATTGGAACTGGAAAGTTGCAAGAATAGACAGATTTACCTAATTGCAACATCCAAGAGCTTTAGGTGACCTTCATGTAAAGGATTAAAGGAACCAGATAGAATAATCTTCCGTTTCGTATTAGCAATATCTGCAAAATGTTTTACTTCACAACAGAGGTCTAGAAAGTAGATCACTTAGTGGAAATTATACAATTTTAAGATACAATGTAGATTCTCCACCCAATTTCACCAGCCACCAAAATGCAACTTCAACTGTTAGTAAATGTTTCAAACAGATGAGGCTTTTATAACCCAAGTGCAATGGGGAAATTGTGGTGGACAATCCACATTGTTAAGACTATTTCTAACAGTTCAAATCATACCACTTGAAAAGGGATAGACCTTAAAGCAAATCTGTCCATTTATAACTTGCTCTAATTCTTGATCTTCATCAAATTTGCTTTCATATTCATCAGGAACTTCAGATTCATTTAGCTCAGAAATATAGGTTGCCTCAACCTTGCAAGCGTTGGCAATTCCCTATAAGTACATCATAAAATTTTTCAATTACATAAAGAGACAGAGACTCAATTTTGACCAAATGAGAATTAACGAACCAATCAGTCAGGATAATTATGGAGTGTAAAGTTCTTGGAAAAACTGGACCAAAAATTTTAACAAAGTGTGGATATGAAAATTCCATTTCTAGGCAATTCTATTGAATGTACGCCAGCAGCACCTGAGGCAATGCCATGGATAAAACTGCTTTTAGGTCATAATATATATATCTATCAAGCACATCCACTGAGACTTGTGCAGAAGAAAATTTTGATTTGTATCAAAGTTCTCTTAACATGACTTTTTACACTCACTTCTTTGAAGCAATAAGATGAAATCACTAAGCACCTATAGGTAAACGGTGAAATGTAATCCTAGGCTATGTTTGGTTGTCCAACAGAATAAAAAACTGTCTCTATAGAAGTTTACTTTGCATATGATGCAATTCCAATTCTAATAAAGAACCAAAAGCAGCTTTAGAAAATACTTTCACACCCACAGTCAAGTCGTCCCATCAGATATGGCCCGTACTAGTAAATGGCATCTGATAAGACATTATTATACCAAATTTTCTGTAGTCAAGCATCTTCAACTTTTTAAAAAGCACTTTTATTGGTGCTAACAACTTAGATACTACTCAAATCACATTTCTAAAATATCAGACGATCAGCACCAACACCTCTTTCAGACCTTACTCAGCACGTTACTCCTGAAAAATCACGAAAGAATTAAATGTGCAACTTTCAACTTAAAAAACTTCACTCACCTTGAGTAAGAACTGGCTTGAGACTGTTTCTTCTTGCTCACGAGTGCGCAAACCCTAAATTATTCATTAGCCCAGTTGAATGTTTTGAGGAAGTTAACTCCCAGAAGGAAAAGCAAAGTTAATCCTGCAGTACCTTTGACAGAGTAACCGTTGATACCCAAAGCTGGTCAGATGTTCTAGTTGACAAGTGAAACCTATAAATGAGGCAAGGCCGGAGTTCAGGTTTCTAACCTATGCAAGACAAAAAAGTTCATTCTTCTAACAAAAAAGAAACTGCATCCTGTAAGATACCTATGATCTCCTAGTTTGGGGCGTGTGCTAGCTAGAGAACCAGTAAAACCGACTCCCAGAACAGGAGAACCTATTTAATCATTGAAACCAAGATGCATCACCAATGTAACAAATGATCGATAATTCAAGAACAACGCTACGAATCAAGAAAAAGAAAAAAAAAATGGCCCCAGGTAGACCTGCAGACGCATCCAGGAAAGTCATCTAACTACTAAAGCCTTTCAGCACAACAAGGAAAAAACTGCCTGCATCATTAACATAAATTGGCAAGAATGACAACAACAGAATATATTACTAGAACTCCGTACGTAAAATTTGAGGGTAAGACTGTTCAAAAGTGAAGTTAGTTGGTCCATTATGACCAATGGAGCTTGAGCAATTGAGCTCGATTGACAGATACAACCTCCCATGTTCCTGGACTTTCCAGACCACCAGTGTCAGCATCTTGTCGCTTATTATATTATACAGAAACTCTAGAAATTTGAATATACCGAACGTAGAAAAAAAAATACAAATTCATTTCGGAAATAGAACCTGGTTTAGAAAGCTTTAAAGCTCTATTATAAGCCAAGAGTGCCATTTCCTCCGCCGTCTTGGCACTAGCGAATTGAGCTGGAACCTGTTCATTCACAACAAGTAATCAAATACTACCAAATACTTATAGAACTAAACTCTGAGAAATGGAGATGATAAAAGTAGATGTTAAGTGGGATCATTATGAAATTGACCTTGCCGAGCAATTGAATCATGGACATTCCAGAATACGGAACTACGGCTTCCAGTACCGTATTTGATGCTCCGGGGACCGACAACAACAACCCTAACGCCTGCGAGGCGCCGCCGGCGATGTAGAGAACGGCCTGAGTAGGACAAGAGTGTATGGATCCTACGAGAGCTCGCATGGAGCCGTCCGTCATACTCGTCCAGACGATGTCGTTTTAGTATCGGAAGCCCAGATATGACGGGAAAGTTTGTTGACTGCTTGGAATTTGGGATGCCATTTTTATTTTATTTTATTTTATTTTTTGTACGTGGGATGCCCATTTCTCAAGCTACCCCTCGCCGTTTCTGTGTTGATTTGTTCAATGCGACGTCGTTGCTGGTGGTGTTTCTTGGGATTGGGCTTCTGACCCAGATGTTGGGTAATTGTTATTGGGCCTAGTATTTCAGGTTTGGATGTTCTCTCTCTCTCTCAACGAAAAAAATTTCTTATATTAAAATAAAGTAGAAATAGATGTAAGATAAAATTTATCGTATTAAAAAAAAAAAATAAATAAATAAAATCCTTAAAAAAATAGTCTTATTTTGAAAAGTGAAATTTTGGGTTTGATAATCAATAATTCTAATGATTGAAACATTTCTTGCCAACTCAACTTTTTTTTTTTTACTCAATATCATCTTTTTTTAGATGGATGGAGTCAAACTCTAGCTTGACTAAAATATGGTCAGTTTTCTAGAATGAAAATATGTCTTTTTAAAGAAAATAAAAATATGGTTTGATTCTTCCTTATTTCGATAGCGCACACAATGAATTTTGCCCCCTTGTGAATGTACCAGAACCACATACATTTCTTGGGTTCCACTCCCTTATGTGCCACGAAGATATATATATATATATATATATATATATATATGTATGTATGTATGTTATATGTGTGATGTTGTCGTCGTCGTGGTCATCGTCAGTCCATTTCTGTTTATGTAGAGTAGATTTGCTAGCAAATGGAGTCAATTTCTGTTTTCGCGCGGACGATGGTGCCTGTGTATACATGTAAAGGTTGATTTTGTTAAGAAATTGAGGCGGAAAGTTTTGGATTACATTTAATAAGAATCAGGAAACATTTAGTAAGAATGAGGAAATTCATGTTGCTAGAAGAGATGAGTGAATTGGGGAAGGTAACAACATTTGAGTGTTGGTTAATAGGATGACATTGTCATGATAGCAAAAGTATTTTATATCTATTGTTGGCGGATGTCAAAAGTTGGCAGTTAAGAACTTCAGTGGACATCACTGAATCTGCAAAATATACATTGCAAAAACTATGGCTTAAGAGCCGGAGTTCAGATCCATTGAATCTGCAAAAGTGTGCTGGCTGGAAAAATGGTGAAGGAATTAGTGGCTATTAATTCTGTTAGGCCATGGCGTCTTTTTCCTTCACTTTTTCAGCAGTGGTCTTTTGTTTCTTGGTAGGGCTTTCTGTTATTTTCAGTGTAGCGAGGCGTTCTGCCTCAAGTTTGTTGTCATCATCTCCAGATGGTGCTGTTGTCGATTTAGCATGCATTGCTGCTGTTTCTGCTGCTGTTGAACTCTCTGCATCAGTATATATTGGTGGCAGTCCTCTGGCTTCAAATTCTCCCAACTTCAGCTTGTGCGCTATAATGGCTGTATACTTTACAGTGGAGGATGATGCAAATGATTTTTCGGTCTTTTTGACGAAGCAAACAATCATGGAGCTGTTAATGCTTTCCTCTATTGCTTTATAGTCAAGGGAACCCTGAAATAATGAAGTAGATGAATATGTTTTTTATAGTAACATGTATTTGAAACTGAGAAGCTATTAGTTGGTTGGTTTTGTATGTTATGAGAGGAATATATATTTCAACGTATTAACTAGTGGATGTATTGCTTACTTGTTCCTCTTGGTCTTGAATTTCTGCTATAGTGAATGGCAGTAGTTGCTCAGCATCTGGTCCATATAGATCCAATGTCATTGAGCCAGAGTAGTTAGCAAGGTTAACAGTTAATCTACACCTGTTTCATAAGAGAAGCAAATTATTAATAAGCAGATGTATGTGAACAGCAGTATAAATCGATACAAAATGACTATAAAGAGCATGCAACTCTAATGCTATAGCCACAACAGAGCATGTATCGAGGGTAATAACACAAGGCAAAGGGACTGTGGTGGTCCCTGTTCTACTGAGATTCAAGTTTCAAAGTTGAATAAAATTGTTGATGTAATGAACTGATTACCTTGGCTCGACTCTAATCTGTCTCTGGCATGAAGTGCAAATAATTAAGTGCTGTGGAGACATCCGAAGAGATTTACCGCATCCAGGACATGCATTATACCAGAGCTTTTGACTTTTATCTAGCAGAGTTGGTGTGCCTTGTAACCAACAGGATTTTTGCTGCAATTTTGATATATATGTTTTTAGACTTCTAATTAGAGCAGTAGGATAAAGATTTGAGTACTGTGATGAAGATTAGATAGGTAATGTGATTGTGGTACCAGGGGCAAGTTCAAGAAGTCTCTTATTGATGTGAGCTCTTCAATAGGTGGCATTGGCAAGAGGACGGCACGATTCTCATAAGCTTTTTCAAGCAACATCTGTTCAATTTTTGCACGGTTGTCTTGAATCCTGGAATTAAAACTGGAGTAGTAAGTATAACAAGTATGATGACTATTAATGGGTGCATAATAATAGCAGAATTTTAAATGGAGTAGTAAGTATAACAAGTACCATGACTTTATTGTTGCTGCTTGTTCAATTGGAGGATTAATGAGAATCGCACTTCCTGGCTTTGTGCTGAGGTTCACAGCTGCAAATGAAAGACAGTAATTAAAGGGTGCATATTATTGTGTAAATTTTGAATTCCAAGTAAGTGAGGTGATCGATAGTGTCAATTCTTACTATGATAAGAGGAAACCTTAACTTTCAATGCTGCAATAATTGGCTGTGAATCAATGATATCTGCAATAGCCTGTCCTTCATTTAGCTCGTAAGCTCCCCATAAAGTTAGGATCGTTGGTATGCAGCTACATAGAGGTTATGGTTATTACATGCATTCATACTTATGATTAGTTCTGCAATAATGATGCGATTTTGCATGCATTTTGAAAGTATTACCCTTGATCGATCACAATTATGTTTCTCAGAGGTGTGGTTCCTCTGTTATTTCTTGGTTGCACTTGAATAGCAGCTGCTAGGACGTCTATTTTTTTGCGAAAGAAAGGAAATTCTGCGTGTCAGTCTCTGTGAACAGTAAAATGTTTCACTATTGTAGAAATGCAGTACGATTAACCTATTTCAGATTGGACACCTATGTACTGACGAAACTTTTTGAAATCAGTGAAGTTAAGCAGTGGAGTAATCATTGGTGAATCGGTATCGCTCACAAGCTGAACAACTGTTGAATTGTCGATGATCCAGTTGCATTCTTTTCAGTTGAACGGTAGTCTGCTGAGGCAAACTTGACTTTTGCATTTGAGACAAGGTATTTGTTATATAACTGAAATAAAGCTCTAAAGAACTCAATGTCTGAGTTATAGATAAGAGCTTCAAGCTTTGTTCCCTGTCATTGAGAGTTGAATGAGGTGAATTAAAGATGTATTAGTACTGAAGTTTTCACGTTGTAAGTATTCGAATATGGTATTACCTGATCATCCATGAGGAGCAACTTTTGATATCTGTTGCCAGCTTTCGACACCTGAATCCTTTGCTTCTGAATGACTTGAACTTTACAGGTCCAGTCTTTCATGCCAGGAAGTATTTTATTAATTGCAGTGAAGTTTGTTCCCATCTGTGAAAGTGATATGAAATATATATTGCACAGTGTAAGAAATAACTGAAAGACTTGCATGCATCATGAATACTATATTTTCTGCATTGATGATCAGACTGTATGGAAAAGCAGCTACTCATATAAGATATCATGCTAATGCTAATCCTAGGATTTCTGTATAAACAACATTTTCTGTCAAATCATCTGTATTTGTATCAAAAACTGATAGTCTTATGAGTATTTTCACAGCTTTACTGTTTTTAGCTCTTGAGATTGCTACATATATCTGTCCATGTGAGAACACAGGCTCACGTAAATAAATACCAACAAAATCTAATGTTTGACCTTGAGATTTATTTATAGTCATTGCAAAGCATAATCTAATAGGGAACTGATGACACTCAAAAGAAATAGGGCAATCAGGGTCATCCTCAACTCGAAAAGAGAGATTCTATGCAGAAAGACTTCTTTGCCTATATGTTCGCCTGTGCTAATGATGGCATGTATAATATTAGGCTTTAAAGATTTACATATAAGTCTTGTGCCATTGCAAAGACCTCCTGGAGGATCTATATTTCTAAGCAGAATGATTGGTGAGTTTGGTTTCAAAGTTAATTTATAAGGCAGGAATCCAGTAGGAGTCAAGCTGTTAAAGAAATCTTCGAACATTGTTTGTTCACTAATTTCAAGTGCTTTGTCTCTGCTGATATATTGATATGCATTTCCTGGAAACCTCTCTGTTAGTGTTTCATTCAGCTCATCGATGAAGTCATTTCTTGTTGTTAGTATAGCCCTGTTCAGTAGAGAAAAGTTATGATCAGTGAAGGCATTTAGGTCAGGAAACACATGTTTAATTAAAGCACTAACAGATTCTTCTTCAGTCGTGTATGGTAGAAGTAAAGGTCGTGGAATTCTGATGTTCTTCTTATCAATGTAAGGTTCAGCTCCGTTACCAATGCGTAGCAGATAACTGTAAAGTCAGGATCTGATATCGCCCTCATGTTTTGTGTGAAGTGTGGCCGAATGTAGGAATTTACAATGCTTGCCTGAATAAAGTCTGCTTTTGATCCTTTTGTTACCATTGGAAGTACTTGTCTGAAGTCACCTCCTAATACTATAACCTTCGATCCAAAGAGCTCTGTTGAACTCATAATGTCCTTTAACATCTCCTCTACTCCTTCAATAGCAGTTTTGTGTGTCAATGGTGCTTCATCCCAGATGATTAACTTTACTTGTAGCGGGAGGTCAGCAAGTGCACTTTGTTTGCTGATTTTGCACATATTTTCAGCACTTGAATCGATAGGTATTTTGAATCTTGAATGTGCTGTGCTGTCCTTCCTCCAGGGAAAATCCAGGCAGCCACTCCACAAGAAGCTGTAGCAAGCACTATAATAGCCTTTTGATCTTGCTTCAGCTAGTAAAGCTTTATATAAAAATGTTTTTTCGGTGCCACCAGGTCCGTCTAGGAAAAAGCAGTCTCGTTTATTGACATAGGCAGCTTCAAGTATGGTATTGAATGCAGTTCTTTGGTCAGTATTAAGTTGAGAAACTGAAGCTAAATCAATTTCTGAGACTGCAATGTTCAATTCACTAAGAGTATCTCTGGTATCTTTTGTCAGGCCATCAAACTTGAGTATTCTGGGCACTAATGCATAGGAGTTGATGTTCTTACCCATTGATTCAAGGAAATTGTTGGTTTGTTGTAACACTTTTGCTTCAATTTCCTTGTCCGTTAAGTTCCCTGCTCTCTGATAATCTTCTGACATATATTGTTGAAATTTTGGCCATAAATGCCTTGCATTTTCTGGAGGCGAGAAAACTAAGAGTGGCAAATAGACGTCTTAAAAGTATATGGCATGTGGTATACTGCAGCCTCTTGTAAGCATTGTTCCTGACTGTTATCTGACTGAAAATAGTCTCGAAGAACTGCAGCTTCTTTGAAAGTATCAACTAAGACGCCATTAACAGTTTTCAAGTCGTTAAATGAAGTCGGCCCTCTGACAATCAGCAGCAATAAACGGAGACAGTAACGTTCGCCTTCAATTGGATTAACTGTGACTAATCCTCCAATTGTGTCTTTCTGTTTTTGAGGTGACCATGCTTTTGATCCAGGATACCAAAAAAAATGTTCAGGGAATTCTTTGTAAGTGCACTTCAGGCTCTTGGCTAAATCTTGAGTTGAATTCGTGCGAAAAAATTCAGCAAGTATGGTTCTCTTCGCAAAAGGATTACTTAAAAGCTCACGCAAATCTTGATCTTCTGTGAAGCTCATCGATTGGAAGTTCTCTAAGTGAACTTATAAATGAATGACTGATGGATGCATTTCACTTAGAGGAAGAAGATAGATACGCCACATTGCTTCAACAGCACAAACCCATCTGCCTGTCTGGTAATCTTTGATTTCATCCACCGGATCAGACACTGAAGGAGTGGCTGATGTAGTTGAGCTAGCAGATACTGATGGAGCAGAAGAGGCAGCAGCACGATCAGCATTAATGCAAAAGTGAATTCTGTCATGACCCTTATGTACGTATTTATAAATGTATTTGACAGCTTTAACACTTGAACAAACTTCAACGTTAATGTGACAATCAAATTTGGCCAATAGGTATGGGTTGTAAGGTACAACACATCTATTGTCTAGCTGGTGATCTCGAACGATAACTTTTCAACCATTCTTCCTTCTCTTGTATGTAGGTTACGAATTATCTCCATGCGATGTCTTTTCAGCCCACCATTTAGGATAATTATTTTTGCACTTTTTGACTGGTGAACCTTCCATGCAGACATTATTGGGATTTTTATGGCCACAAGGTCCGTGCATCATGTGCTTTCTCACCATATTGAATAGGTGTCTGTTTTGATTTGCGTCAGGAATCTCAGCAGAAACAATCTTGTTAAGTGCCTCAGTGGTGTACAACTTTGATGCCGGTTGAAGAATGATAAGCATATGTACATGTGGCAGGCCTCGTTTCTGAAACTCGATAACGTAGGTATAAGCAGCAACAGCCCCAAAAATTTGCTTTTTGAATAATTCATCTTTCAGAACTTGGAAGCTTTGAATGAAATACTCGAGATAGAAGCTCTGGTCTGTTATGAGCTTCATCAGCGGATAACATATGTTTTTTTATCTCTAGCCATGAAGGATTGCAGGTCATAATAATGAATATATCAGGCTGGCCAAATTTATCTCTTCTTTTCATGTCTCGATCTCGGTCCTCCAATGAATGAAGCTGGAAGCGCAACACGTTGGCCTATCTTAGAACCACTGGATTGACCATGAATAATGCTACCCATGATGCCTTGCAGTTGTTCTCTTCCTATAAGCTGTTGTTTGTGCCTGTAGAAGTCAAGTCTTTGACTCTCAATCTTGATGTACATATCAACAGCAAGTTGTTGAAATAGTCTTCCAGTGTTGACAATACTTGGAGAACAATCAGCTCTCATCTGCAATTTGTAAGCATATTACTCTCATTGAAGCATATACATTTAAGCTGTCAAATGCTTTGGAAGCTGGCCATTAAAAATAAAAGCGAACTGATATATGAGTAAGCAATAAGGGTAAAGCATTTCAATCTATAAAGTAAAGATACTACTTCATGTAGTTCATAAAGCAAATATGTAATTTGCTAACCTTGTTCTTCCATATTAATCATTTCATCAGCAGATTTGAAACTTGTAAGAGTTGTTGCCCGTGCATTCTTTTTTTCTTTTCTTTCGCATTTTTTGGGATTTTGCCTTTCAGATCTTTTAATGCCTGGATGCCATCCAGTTTCTCCAAATGCAAACAGCAATGGTACTGCAATGCATCATAACATCGGTAGTAATATTGCACTCGTCGCTGCTGTCCATCTTTAGTGTAAACTTGAATGTGTCTAGCATATCCACTATTTGATTCGTCTCCTTCAACCCACAAAGCAGCAACTTGAGATGCAGTAGGCTTATTGAAGACTCTTTGATCGGTGTCGCAGAATGTCTTTAGAACAATCTGACAGGAATCTAAGTTAGGAACATTTCTGAGGCTACGAAAGAAGCATGCATAAGGATTAGCCTTCATCATATCCATAATTTTAACAACAATACTCTCAGTTAGCTTTTCAGAAACTGCAAGCCTGTTGTGAAGCTCAAGATCTGTATCATGGAAATATAGCTGTAAGTACATTCAGGAACCACCGTGTGGTATCAAGTCATTAACAAAATGATATGTTTGTCCTTGCAGTTTGAAAGTGTATATTCCATTAGTCCTTTTGCAGAGTTCCTTGTCATAGCGGACACCAAACGAGCTAAAAGCAAACAAGCAGTTGTATGTTCTGACATATGTTGGAAAGTACACTGCTTCTTCAGTGTGTCCAGTGTAGAGTTCAATGAGGACATCAGGTAGCCTGTTTTGATGCAATACAGCATCACCATCAGAGCACCAAAAGCTTGCAGTTTCAGAATAAAACTTCTTGGCTGCACAATACCTGCAGTCAGCCTGTGATGGCAAAGTATCAGAAGCAGTAGGTATGAATTCTAAAGCTTCTGTTCCAATGAATGCATGTTTCCTTACAAATTAAACATAAAATATTAGCATAGATAAAATTGCCATTAAATTCATTTACTGATAAATTTGATAAAGCCATACTAAGAAGGCTAGTAAAGCTAGAACAACCTTTTCTTCCTGCAGGCTTTCTGCTTCTCGAATTATGAGGCCGGCTATGCTCACTAGTATTTCCTACAAAGTAAATTGCAAAGTAAGTGCACATACATTGTTAACGAAGAAAACTTTGGTAGTGCAAAAGCTTAGTAATACCTGTTGGCTGATGATTCACATGACCTGAAGAGCGTTTCGCAACATGATTGTCACAAAACAAAGTTTGGCAGTCCTAATAAAAAGCAAATGCTTGGTTACATTTGAATATCTGCATCAGTATAGGATAAAGCGGAAACATCACTGAAGGCATTATAAAGCATGAGAAAATTACCTGATACATGCTGTAAAGATTCCTAAAGATACTTATAACACTCGCTGCAGATTGGAAGCTCACCTGTAATAGGAGAAGGACAGCAAAGCATACTGTTAGTGGTGATGGCAGCTAACACTGCTATCTAAACTATTGCATAAATTGAGTGAAGACAAACCAGGAGTTGCTGAAGCAGCAGATCGTGTACATCTATGAGAAGTTGATTTCTTTGACTTTGATCCTTATACAGGTACAAAACACATTAAATTAAAAGTAATATAAAGTGTGATTTATTATACAATGGAAATAATACCAAGAAAAATGCAATCATTGGATACCTGTGTGAAAAGTAGAGAATTCTGAGATATACATATATTTTTTCAATTTCTCATGACTTTGAGAATTGTCTGGTTGTCCAATGGGCAATGGCCGTAGCACGCAAGAGCTGACCGCCTTATTTAGTTGATCAGGAGCACCAACAGAAACCAAGTTCGTCTGTTTTCTTCTATGATAAGCCTCTCTTTTGTTTTGCACGTCGAATTTCTTTTTCTCCAGCAGAGAGCATAGCATGCCTATTTCTTGCTTGTTCATTCTGCCTAAGTTTCCTAGCCTTTCTATTTTCAACATCTTCTTCACTTATGCTTAGTTTAGATAGGCTCATAGCTAAGTTTGATGCATAAAATGATAATGAGCCAACCACAAAGCAGAAAACAATACTAAATAGATCGAAGATGTCACAGGAATAGATAAGAAGTGCAAACAAAATGAAAGACGAGAACTACATTGGAGTCTGCACCTACTGATGAACATGAAAAATAACCATGCAAACACAATATGCAACAATAAAAGTAAAAAAGGGACAGAAATACTTACTGAGGTAACCAAAAACAGCAGGTAAGCAAAAGTTCCGCTGCTATGAAAGAAACACACAAAAAAGAAATAAGAGCATAATCCAACTGGTATATACTGAGCAGGCCTCCAAAAGTAAAACATACTCATTCGATCAAACAACTAGCATTTTTTGTTTGCAGCAAACTATTAGTACTATGGACAAAAAACCTATTAACTTCATTCATACGAAGATTTCATAAGAAATGCAAGCAAATGCTACGGTTCATAAGCACAAAAGTGCGAACGGAAAGCTAATGCAAAATGAAAGACAAAGCAAAAAAACTTTAAGAGATGCATGAAAGCAAACGATCCAAGGGAAAATAAACATTTGAAATAAAGTGCAAATTGAATGATACCAGCAATGGAAGCACTGAGAAACCAGAGGAGCAAAACACAGGCTGAAGCTGAAAGCTAAAAGCAGTGCATAGCAGCATACAGAATGGAGCGGTGCATTTTGAAGAAGAAAGTTGTAGTACACGGCCTTCCAAGAATTAATTCTGCTTAATTTAGTGTGAAATTACTATAATGCACATTGTTATCATAACATTATCCATATAACAACCAAGATGCTTGTCCACGTGAGTAATTTCACAACCCGCAAACGTTGTAAGTGCTGAACCTGAGTCAAATCCATACAAAATGACTATAAAGAGCATGCAATTCTAAGGCTGCAGCCACAACAAGGCATATATAAAGGGTAATAACGTAAATAAACAAATGCACTAACAATACCAAATGGAAAGTGGGATCAAACAGTACTATATATATATATATATATATATATATATATATATATAGTATAAGAGTAAGGAGAAAGCAACATACAAGGCTTCTTATATATAGATAATATATATATATATACACACACACATAGAAGTGCAAGTGCTTCTTATATGTATAGTTAGGATTAGGATGTTAAACTTCATCTTTTGAAAACTTAGTTAAGAAAGAATAAAAAGGTTTAAAAAGGGGGGAAATTCCCTCTTGTTCTTAGGTCATAAATCTTTTTGTGAGTCATAATCCACAAGCAAATGGAGTCAAAACCATAGGAGTAATATGTAAAGCTTCATCTTTTGACAACTTTAGTTAAGAAAGAGTAAAAAGGTTAAAAAAAAAAAAGGAGGGGGGAAATTCCCTCTTGTTCATAGGTCATATATCTTTTAGCTTCGGAGAAACTCAAACTAAAAACAGTACGTTCGGGTTTCCAAAGTCCAAGTCCAGATTCGTTATTTACGGGAGTTTTGTCTGGTCCAAATGTCTGCATAGTTGGACATTTTTTGCTTCTGCCTGGTGATTTCTTGGGCGGAGTTGAGCAATCTTCAACACTTTTTTTAAAAGAGTGTAGACCGCCTCCAATCACGCTTGTCTGAAAAGGATTCATTAAAGTCCTCTTCTGGGCTTTGTTAGTCGTTTGGTTTCCCTTTCCAGAGTCCACCGTATTTATCTGCCGGTGTGTTGATTATTTCACAGCCATAAAAATATATATATATAGTTGGTACTCTTCAGTGTAAGAATTGTAGCACTTTAGTAAATTAATTTAGTTACCATATTGTAAAGGAAATTAATTTGGTGATGTTGATCAAGTGGCTTGAATCTTTCTGACAAACGAAAAGAAAATTATCGGTTTCAAAAAAAATAATGAATTAATTTTGTTTTATATGCTGACAATGTATACACGATCAATGCTTAGATGAACAACAACTATACAAATTTTAAATTTAAAATTCAACATATGCACGTGTATCATGGATACAAATATCAGTGTATATAAAATTTATTCGTATGGATTACTACATTATAAATCCAGCATTAAGTGTACATTCCCTAAAAGATATAATAGTTTTATTTTGACCGAAAAAAAGAAAAAAGAAACCCTTTATGGACGCATTCTTTGCATGATAATGGATGATTTCTTTCGTTATTGGAGCTACAAGATAGAAGATCCTTATTCAAAAGCTCATTCTTGAGTCCTTGGCATCATCATCCCATTCCTGCAACGGCTTTGAATTGGTCCTCCGGTAGCTTTCAATGGTACAGCGTAATTATCACGAATTGATAATTATAGATTGAAATATGAGGGGAAGAAGAAACACAATTTTTTTTTTTCTTAACAGCAAAGAATAACTTTTATTTACTCTCTGGGCCACACGAAGAATAATTAAATGATCTTTAAATGGTAAAGTGTGATTTCTTTAATTATTTTATACTCTACTTCCCTATCTAAAAATTCTCAGCTACTCATCCTGACAAACGGCTTCTTTCATTCTTAGCCCACATGTCAGTCAATATATCCCCACTTTCTTGTTTTAGCCCTGTAGAAATAAATACTAGCCAAACAAATATAGGCACTAAAGTAATAAATGTATGTTAATACAATTTTTTACAAATTTTTTTTCATCCAGAATATATCTTGACTCGAGCCACTTAAGATTCGAGCTGACACATCAAATTAGGGGATACGCCGCGACCTCTCGTGATGCACCCAAGTTAGACAAGAGAGGTTAAAATTTAAGGAAAGATTCGAACCTCAGACTTTATTCAATCTAAAGGCCAATTTTACCACTTGACTGTCTCTGGGCGTATGCTAGTATAATTGCATACAAAAACACAAAAATTTTTTCATATTTGTTGAAATTTGTGTTCAAAAATTATATTCATGTCTACACTTGTTATTTTCACACGTACATTTATTGCTTTAATATCTAAACTACATAGGTGTAATTTTCACTGATATTTGTAGTGGCTCTCATTGCACCCCAGCTACTGTACTGCAGATAGAGGGACAAGGGTGTCGCAGGCATAGCAGGAAGAGTCACTATTGGTTCTCACCTGCGGTGGGCGCTGCTGTACAATTTTGGGACAGCTTTAGGACTAGGAATACTAATACTCTATTATGTGGTAATCTAAGCGCAGCTGGCTTAGATTAGCATGTTTTGATATTGAATTCATTGGACCACTTGCAGTCAAAAAGGTTGGTTGATTATAGGAACCAAAGCAACTACTGGGAAGGAGTTCCCTGGTGAATTTAATATTAACTGTACTCATTGCACAATGTCCTCCCTCAACGGTCCTAGGGGACTGGGACTTTTTTGTTTTACCACAAATCCAGACTGTCAAATGTTTCTTTTACTCCATGGTAACGTTGTTTGTTTCTGGGCTAAACCTGATTGAAATTTGCCTTCTTTTTAAAGACATTTCATCTCATGTAAGAAAAAAAGAAAAACACACTCACACACGCAGAGATGTCAGTTTGATTACATACACAAATTCACAAAATGATGTTCAAAGTAAAAATACAGAAAGATACAACTACATGCATGTGTACTAGTAATAGACTATATATAATTGGTAATGTATTTTACTTGTAATTGATATGTTTTAAGTTCAAGTCATCTAATTTTAAGTGAAATCTCTCACCATTAATCTTTAAAAGGTAAAAAAAGAATCATCCCCGAAAGCATTTGTAAGTAAAGTATTGATTATTGGATTGTGTACATGGAAAAACATTAAATGCTTTATACATGAAGAGTATTGGTTATTGAATATGTGATGAGCTCGTGCAAAGAACTTTTGGGAGCGGCCTAATGCTAAACTATAACCATTCCCAAAAAAAAAAAAGAAAATGTCACTCTCCAAATATAGCCATACATTATTGAGTTGCAATAATATACACCCTCAATAGTTATACAAAACTTTACTCCGTTTTCATTTTTGTTTCCCATTTTTCATTTTCCCCTTAAAGAATCAATAATAATATGCCTGTTCTTTTCTTCTGCTAGCTGAAACCAACTTTACCTTTCTCCATCACTCTTTTTTCTGCTCTCAATAGTAGTACTTCCTGTCAGACCTTTCTTTCTCTCCTTCACGTTCTCTCAAGTCCCAGTTCTTCTCTAAGCTTTCTCTGCAACAACTCGATTTCCTGGTGTACAAAGGTAAGCCCTTTAAAACACATCCTTTTTTACACATTTCCAACGGTCACTTTTCTTGGAAATGTTAGATAATAGTACTGTAATTTTGTTCATTTTAAGTCTATTTAGTTTTCATGGTTTTGTGGGGTGTTTGAACAATGAAGGATTTGCGCTTATGTCATTCAAGAATGCTATTCAGCAAGACCCTGAAGGGTCCATGAACAGTTGGAACCATTCTGATGAAACCCCCTGTTCTTGGAA